CCCCCCGGGGCAATCTCTCGTAGCTTCTTCCAAAAAATTTGCATCTCCCCAATTCTCTGAAAAAAAATTTCAAAAAATTTTCTATCATTGGCTATGCTATGTCTGCTATCATTAGCAATGCTCTGCTCTTTTTTGCTCTCCTCTGCAATGGTCATCTCTAAGATTACTGCATTCAAGTTAAGACAATCATAATCACTTAAAGCAAAATAATTTTTAAGCTACTAGATATTATTATATGCAGCACTTGTAATCATCTTATTTCTTGTCAATCTAGAACACCATACTCAGAGTACAGACCAGTGATGTGCCTCCAAAAACAAAGAAAATGTTCAGTGTGGCTACACAGACTGAAGACTATGGGTGTGTCAATCACTGTACCTCAATGTATGTTAACAATGAAAAACAAATGGAAAATACAGAGATCAAAATCATTGACATAGAAGATGATGCAAGCGGTGGTGATACAATTGATGCCAATAAGCATAACACGTTCAATAACACTGATGTTGACGAGAACCTTGGTGAAGTTAGTGAAGACTATGAGATGGATGAATCATTGAGTACCATAATTTCTGAGATGAAAAGTAAAAAGGAGCTTGTACAAAATCTACAAACCCAACTCGAAAGTAATCCCAAGACTCATGACTGCTGTTACTGCAGTAGCACATTTAAGTGGAAAACCTCTCTTGAACGTCATCTACGAACACATACCGATAAAAAGCCATACGACTGTTCATATTGTGATAAGGCATTTGCTACAAAAACGAAACTGAATATTCATCTAAGAACACATACCGGCGAAAAGCCATATGAATGTTCATATTGTGATAAATCGTTTTCTACAACGATGATTCTCGTTGAACATATACGAACACATACCGGTGAAAAGCCATATAAGTGTTTGCACTGTGATAAGGCATTTGCACAGAAAGGGGTTCTCAGTCGTCATGTACGAACACATACCGGTGAAAAGCCATTTAAGTGTTGGTATTGTAGTAAGACATTTACACGAAAAACACATCTCGATGCCCACTTTCGGATACATACCGGCGACAAGCCATATGAATGTTCTTATTGTAACAAGGCATTTGCACAGAAATGTGTTCTTGATCGTCATATAAAAACACACACCGATAAGGGTATTATTTGCGCAAAAAATTAAAGTGTAAATCGAGGGAAAAAATATTTTTTCAAAATCACTTTTACGTGAACAGTGTAGTAGCATGATTGTGGTATTTTTTGTATGTGGGATTTTCTTTTAGGAGATATACACTTATTTCAATAAAGTTAGTCGCCTGAAAAGCTATTAAGCTGAGGCCGACAAGGATTATGGGTAGATTCATTTTACACGTTCAACCGCTTGATAACTGTTCATGGACTTGCGAATTCTTTACCGGTTACAGTCTCACCTCTTCTGAGCATCATCGAGCTGCAGTTCGCATTAAAAAAGCTTTGTATATATATGCTTTTTTGATATGAAAAGTTTCCCATGATGCTCAGTGATCTCAGCTTTCTAGGTTCTTGGTGACTAACTTTATTGAAATAAGGATGGAACTTGAACAGCGTCAATTGTATCTAATGGAGAGTGAATTGTTTGATTGATGACAAAACTAATAACGAAAGGTCCTTCCTTTCATCTCGCTCATTCGTTGACTTTTTGTTCATTCGTTCGATCCTTCGTTGGTTGGTTCGTTGGTTGGTTCGTTGGGTCGCTCGTTGGTTCGTTGGTTCGTTGGTTCGCTCTCTCGCTCCCTCGCTTTTCTTCCTCTAATTAGTCATCTTTAAATGGTTAATTATCAGAGCGATTCCGTGAAAACCAAAATCCCAAGAAGCGTTAGCAAGACTAGGATTTTAATTCCCATGTTAGCGTGAAGCTTGTAGTCATAGCAACAAGCTAACTTGCCCAAAAAAAATGGGCGACTAAACATGACTCCTTTATTCAATTCAATTCAATTTCAGTTTATTTACACTATTTTTTTCAACTTTACATAATAGAATAACAAGCATATATATAGTTTGAATAATATTTACAATTTTTACTATAACTAACATATAATAGTTGTAAGGGTACGACAGACAAAGCTTTTAAAGGCTGTCGTAGTTTTCATTTAGGGTCAAAAAAGAGAAGTTTAGGAATTAAGTCACCGCCACCATAGAAACAGTGACAACGAGGAAACATGTAAGAAAGATCAATTATGAGAAAAATGGTTATCTTAAAAGTTACTAATTGTAGAAAGTATTTCTAAGAAGAACTAGCCGCTTTCAATGCAATACCTTTAGGAATGACATGGTTTTTTTCTCCTGCTCCTTTTGACTAGTATATCGTAATAGTTTTGCGAAGGGAGCGAGAATAAAATTGTCCAAAATTCGCTCTGAATTTGCTTTATTAATTGTTCATCATATTATGTGTAACATATTGTCGAGGTTCGCTGAATGCAGTAAATATTGACCACAAGTGTTTTTCACTCAAGTTTCTTTCTTTTTTGCATATATGACTTTATTGGTTTACAATTTAGTTATTACTTTTGAACACGGTTACAACTGCTCAGAAATTTTCCCACTTGGGCAAGGACTTCGCGATTGCTCTCAATCGTTCTGAACGTCGTGGAGGCTTTACACCTTTTGCTGTTCATTAACCGCAAAGACAATAAAATACAACACACATTCAATACATCGTTTTGGACATTTATTTACGCAATACAATATAAGTATATTTTCCACTAGGAATTGTAGGATTTTAACTGTCTTTTCATTTTTTTTTTATAAGCTGTGAATATGATTTCGTGCAAACAAAACGCCGTTAAGTATGAATATTAAGTCAGTTCTGAGATTTTTAATCCCCCTTTTTTGGATGTTGCAATGGTTCAACAAATAAACCAAATTCCAAATGAAGTCAGATAGCGTCTTGTTAGGGCCTATGAAGATCCAAAGAAATGCATAAAATGGTAAAACCACATGCAAACATATCGTCCAAGATGTTTAAATAGAGAACACATTCAAGGATAAATTCATTTTTTTGTTTTTGAAAATGTACAATCGTAAAAGCACAATATACTTATATTGTATTGCGTAAATAAATGTCCAAAACACTGTACTGAATGCGTGTTGTGGTTTATTGTCTGCACCAAAACGCTAATGAAAGTTTGAAAACGTTAATTAACCCTCGCAAACATATTCATGATTGTCAAATTCAATGCTAAATTTCATAATGAACGTTCCATCGCACTCTTGAGACTCCGTTCGCCTTATTGGATGCCTGTTCGCTCTAATGACAATGCTTCTTCACTTCAATGAACATTCCTTTGCGGTTAATGAACAACAAAAGGCGTACTGCATCTTTATATTTATCTTTAACTTATAATTTCGAAGAAAGACGATATCCAAATCGAATCCGCATTTACGATACGAAGACTTCCGGCGTGACCTCGGGTCGGTTGCCGAA